TGTCATTAGGCATAGAAGAGACCGTAGACAACCATTCTTCCAGAGTAAGAGGATCCAATAAAGAATTATAAATAGAAGAATCTACATCATCCATAGGGTGATAAGCAGAAGACCATCGTTCAGGGAGAGTTTGAATGTTATCAGGAGGAGATGATTTTATGGGCACGGAATTCTGGAAGTGGTTAATAACAGCGTTGTCAATATCATGTGGATCCATTAATAATTTTGGATGTGTAGGGTGATCAATGAAAACATGATCCAAAGTGATACGACGTCGAGTCCTTGAGAGAGCAGAATCAATAAAAGAGGAAATATCAGTTTCAAAATTGTTGTCCCTGTCATCCAGTTTGGCACGAATAGAAGTATCTTGAAAATCTTTTTCTTTAAGCAGAAGGAGGCCGTGGAGGGCACTGGAAATAGTCTTTAAAGATTCTAATAAAAAATTAAAATCGTCTTGCCTACATGTGGATAAAGAAGTAGGTAAAATAGGGGGAGAAGGAATAACCTTCTTATAAAGATGAAGAATTTTTTGAAGTCGAATGAAATGAGCGGACCAAGTACGTTCATATCTATTATAATATGTAGAAGGATATTTTCGCAATAAGTGTATCAAATGCAAGAGACGGCTGAGGAAACGATAATGTTGAGTTAAAGCTTCCAAATCCTTAGGCATCGTAGGTGTATATTGATTTCCAACAGTGACAAATGGGAGGGAGGCATTAGCAGCTTTCACAATACGAGAATGTAAATATTCACATTGCTGATTGATGTGCCATGTTGAAAGGGTAGAAGGAGGAACGTCGCATAAGGAGTCAGTGGAAGCAGAAAAGGATTCCCATTGTTGAGTAGTGACTGAATCAAATTTGAAAATGCGGCGGGTTCATCGTTGAAGTTGTTTAGCACGAGCAACCTTGACAGACGCAGCCAAGAGTGAGTCGTCAAAATACGTGATAATAGGATTGTGGTCAGAAGAGCAGGTGTCTTGTGCATCAAATATGTAGGAAGTGAGAGCAAAGCATTTTAACATCGGGCAAGACCAAACATAGTCTATACGAGTAACTTGGTCATCACGGTGAAATGTGCCTAAAGAAGTAGAAGCATTAACAGGAATAGTTTCTTCATAACCATGAAATAAAAGATAATATAACAAACGATAGGCTCGTTGAGAAGCGATAGCAGGGCGATTAAAGTAAATAGGATAATATATGTCTAAGTGTATATTAAAATCGCCACAAAGGGCGTGATAAAAATTTTGTTGTTTGGTTTGCACCAATAATTGTAAAAGAATGTCAATAGTTTCTGATCGTAATTTAGAATCAGAAATAGAAGGAATATATATAACAAAAATGCGTAATTTAACGTTGCCTTTAAAATATAAATCAACAGATAAAATACGTGAGGAGTGCGAAACAAAATCTTGTACATGGGAAGCAAGAGACTTTTCAATAAAAAGGGAAACGCCACCAGTAGATTTAACTTGTTTAGTTTTATCTATATCAGATGAAAAGACAGTATAATTAGGGAGGCGTTTAGATAAAAAATGAATTTGTTTGGGAGATAAGTGGGTATCTACGATACCACCAAAGGAGATATGTTTAAGGTTGAAGAAGTTGGAGATTTGTTCAAATTTAACTTGACTATTATGGCGAAGACCATTAACATTAAAAGATGAAATATTAAAGGAATTAGGGATAGGGGAAGAATTTGGGGTAGTAAATAGAGATTCATGTTCTGAAAAATTATAAGTATCTACGGGGTTGGGTGGGTTTCGAACAAATGTATCATAATTAAAATTGTCTGACATTAGAGCACAATGATAATAAGGAACGGGGAAAAGGAATCAAGAAGTCAGTTATTGCGAAGGAGCAGAAGCTCGATCGGAGGGAGAACCACCAAGAGAAGTGATAAAACCTTGAATAGAACCAGTGAGCGATTGTAAAGTATCTTTAATCGCTTTCTGATCTTGAATAACAGAGTTCAATTCATCTTGCGGGGAAGGGCTAGAAGTGGATACGGGAGCAGAGTGTGGGGCTTTGTTGGATGTAGATTGAGAAGAGGAGGATGTCATAGGATCAGAAGATAAGGGAGCATTGGGATGCTGGATTAAAGTGCCAGTAGTTTCAGGAGGGTCTTCTTCCATTCGATCAGGTACAGAATTAACTGTAGGTGCAGAAGGAGGACTGATGCCTAAATGGGCTTCTATAGCAGAAAGCCGTTGGTTGTTAAGTTCGAGATTTGAGATGCGGGATTCCACCCGAGCAACATCTTGTTGAAGGTTCTTTAAAACATTAAGAATGTTGAGAGCGGCTTCAAGTGCACTAGAAGAGGTCGGATCAGGGAGCGGAGCACGAGCATTAGACGAAAAAGAAACAGATCTATCTTTGCCTTTACGGTTATTCGAAGGTGCACGTCCATGGGCAGGTGAACCAGAGGAGGGGGGTTTGTTATTGTTATTGTTATTACCATTAGTATTAGAGTTATTGGAATTGGAATTAGAACGGTGAGCAGAAGCAGAACGATCCCGAGATTTGGACTGAGAACGAGAGCGAGAATTATTGCGTGGCGTTCTTTGTTGGACGGGCCTTTGGCCAATATTGAAACGTTCTTTAAGAGCAGCCACAGGGTCACGTGTACGTGAGCGACCACGGCGTTGATTAAGCGGGCAAGAGGTAGGAGCACAACCAAGTTTACCACAACGATGGCAAAGAGCTTTCGAATCATTGGATGAACCCCACCGAAGAGTACGACCTTGAAAACCAATAGTTTGCTCTATAGCGGCATCCATTGTCTCTTGCGAGTTGAAGGTAACATAAGCCCAAGGTTTAGGTTTATAAGAATTCAGGGAAAGGGGAATATTAATAGCTTTTGCTCCATGTTCTTTAACCAGAGGAGCGAGATGAATATCTTTAGTATTAGCGGGAAGTCCAGAGAGAACAGCCACGAATGCTCTACGAGCGGCTTTTTGATCTAAGGAGTAGTGGTAAGGGGTAACACGCAAGCAGGTGGAAAAGCAGTAAACTGCCCATTGAGTAGTGAAACGGGAAATGGCATCGGCATGATCATAGACAATGCGGGCTTGTTGCATCTTAGCACCTTTTCTCGAGTAAAGATGGATGGTAAGGAGATTGCCAAATTTCTTGAAATAGGATTGGAGTTGCGGTTTAGTAATGAAGAACGGTATATCCGTTACTTGAATTGCATGGAGGTCTTCATCGGACCGGAGCTGTTTGGGATCGTACAGATGGAATTGTAGGTCTGGAAAATCAGAATGTGTGCTACCAACACACAAGTCACGAGCCTCCGCAATATGAAAATGTATGATGAGACGTTTAGCGTCCCCTGAGCCAGTCATACGTGCACGATTGGTATATGATTCATAAGTTTCTAAAAATAAGTTGTTGACAGCTTCTATAATTGCCTTATTAGTTTTAAGTTTCTCAAGAGTTTGGGGAGCGGAGTTGGGCGCAGCTGCAGCCAGGAAATCTTGACGATTAATGGTAATGGTGGGGAAGGGATCAACATCCTGATCGGGCGATGTGCCATCATTCACGTCCATATTAGGGGATGCGTTAGGGGGTGAATTATTTTCTTTGTTTCGAGGTGCATGAATAGACGCGTCAGCTCCAGAGGACGCGCCTTGGCCAGGCGCAGTAGGCGCAGCAGAATTATTCGGGGTAGAAGCTTGAGTATTTTCTTGGGCAGTGCTGCAGAAATTATTTTGTTGAGGAATAGCGGTCGAAGTTGAACCAACTAAACCACCGTCAGCCGGCGCGTCGGCAACGAAATCTTTATAGTCTTCATCCATGGAGTCCTTTGTAAGTATACGGGAACGTTTTTGAGTATTGTTATCACTATCAGAACCAGAATAATCAGAGAGTTGTTTTTTGTTATTTTTCTTTTCTTGACGAGCAGCCTTATTACTGTTGGGATTATAGCTGCCGCCACCTCTTCTAGCAAGGTTTCTAGACATGTTAGAAGGTATGAGTTGGGTAAAATATAAGAGTTGTTAGTACGAAGATATAAAATTTTCTTTCCAAAAATTTTTGGTCAATAGATCGGCGGTAAGAGATCTATCAGTCCTTATCATCAGTCCTTATCAAAAAATACAAGAATACCTGATGATGAGGTTACATGGTCATCAGTCCTTATCAAAAATGCAAGAATACCTGATGATAAGGTTACATGGTCATCAATCCTTGTCGAAAAAATGCAAGGATACCTGATAAATAAGTTACTGGGTTATTGGCCTAGAATGCATTCATGGAAAAACTATGGATTATATTACAGAAAATGTGAACGGAGTTCATGTCACATGATACCCTGAACAAATGTGTAGAGTGTCATGTGATTTCACGCAGTATGTAGATTATTTCCTTTTTAGGCGATACCATTTCACAAAAATCGATTTTGGTAAAAATGCGTTGGGAATCTTGTGTAACATAAATTTCCTTTTTAGGTAATTCGGGATTACGCGGTAATGCCGGCCGGATCTAAAAAATATGACTCTGCAGGGTAATTCCTACGAAAGTCAAGTACAAAATGCTTACTCCTGTTGAGTCCATTCATACCACTTCCAGTCCCCAAGGATCGCCTCCCCATCTTTGTTCACTTAATGCATGCTCTATGGTTTCCCTCTCTTGGGGGTCCACGACCATCCCATTCCTAAGCATTTTCTCCATAATATAAAGCTGATCCTCGGTGAGGCGGTCTATCCATCTTTTATAGAAGTCGTTTACATCTTCAAATGATATCCAGTCAATATTCCCTTTTTCAAACGGCTTTCCAAGAGCTTGGACATGCCCAATTGTAGTAGCGTAATTTTTCCATCTCTTATATGCTTCTTGACGAACCTCCTGCCACCACACACTATCTACTTTACTCGCTGCAATAAGGTCAGTATCTGGGATCTTTGCAACAATGCGTTCGACTATTTCTACTGGTAATCGGTCCAACATGATGTTATGTTACTTATACTATAGCCATCTTCAATTACTGTATGCCCATTACAAATGGATAAAAAATATAAACTAAATTCGTACAGGAGCCGCTTATGCAAGAAGTTCTGCTAAGGTTTTCTCAGCCTCATTCATAGTGACAGCTCGCTTTGGGGGACCTGTTAATGAGTCCTTAGTTACATTATAATACAACTCGAAGAGGGCCTCAAGTTTGTCTAAAAGAGCTTGTTTATTCTTGTATGATTCACGAATCTTTGCTATCTTAGCAGTATATGCTGCATTATCTGGGAAGAGTTTTCTGGCCACGAACTTCACATATGATACAGGAGACTTTGCTGTCTGGATTCTCTTGATATACTTCACATGATCCTGGACAAGGTAGCTGGTTTTGCTAAACCCAGATACTAATGCGACTACTATAGTGTCTTTCAATGCACGGATAATCTTGAGGACAGTTTCATCAGAGACAATGGTGAACTGATTGTGTGATGCATCATAAATAACTTTATCACTAATGCTGTCAGTGCTGTTAATAATGCTTGCTAATTCGGTATATGTTGACATGATTCCTTATACTTTTTTGTACTTTGTAATAAATAGGAATCTTCAAATTGACTTTACATTCAAGCAAGAAAAAATATATATACCTACTGTAAATCCAACCGCATTCTTGGCAATCATGTCCAGATAACCTTGTTTGCATTTTTCACATGGCAGTATCCTGCGGTTTCAAACTTGAGAGCTTTCAATGCTTTGGATGCATTTTCTGGACAAGTGATAAGTGTAGGACTACTCGGCTGTTCCTCTAGAATAAATCCATCTGTATGGATGCGTCGTACTTTATCCTTATATGGTTCTAATAACTCTGAAGTCGTCTTCCGTCCATGTGCTAATAAGAATGGAGCGATCCTAGGATACTCACCCTTGAAGGGACTACCTGGGTTTGTGAATTGGAATCGCCACTGGTCAGATCCTACTGGTATGATGGAGTCAAGTGTGTGGCCTTCTGGAAACTTGAATGGATTTGTTTGATCTGTGGTGAGTGTCTTGTAATTGCGTTTCCTCTGGCAGAGTGCTCCCCATAATGTATTGAGAACTCTCTTTGCAACACGACCAGACTCCCCTCTTATTCTGTCGGAAGAGAATGTCATTACCACTTACCTTAGCACGAAATAATCCATACAAGGCATAACCTCTGTGGTCTACAAAGTCTTTGAGTATTTGAAACTTACCTTGTTGGATTGGAAAGTTAGCATTCGATTGCTGAATACTTGGATACTAACTTGTCATGTTGTATTGTCTTCCATAGCCCTTCCATTCATTATCTGCCCAGATAAGACCTCCCATCATTGCATCACTTATCCACTCTGCTTTGACTGGATCAAGAGGATCATTAGCTGGAACTCCTATACTAAACCGTTTAAAAAGCCAGAGAGCAGTTCTCTTGTACAACCAGTTGTGGTAAGATAAGTCGATTCCTAGACCGAACTTCTTTGTAGCCTGTAAAAAAAATCCCGCTCTTCATAGATCCTCTGGTATGTTTCCTCAAGTATTTCATATATTCCAGTTTTACGATTCTTCTCAATAGGGATGAAGGAGTAACTATCAGAGTTCTTACCTTTCTGAAACTGTCCAACTGTAAGAGACTTAACTGTCTTACCATTGTATATTTTTACTACATTATTAACCCCATCTTCACGATAAACAAAGGGAGACTTTTGTTTTCTATCTAATTTACTAGGGTGAAGTCTTCCAGGATTCAGTGCAAGAGAGTAGTGGCCTTCAGACAGGATGAGGGTTGCACGTCTGTCAGATTTGCTTTTGGAAATTCGAGTGGAATCCCCTACAATATTAAGTGCAAGGCTTCCTGCAAGTTGTTCAATCTTATCCATATATGAGACTAGAACTGGAGCATCACGATTGAGACCTAATGCCTTTTTGATATATTCAGGCTTTTTTATAGTCTCGGATATTTTAGAGAATATACCATAGATATGCTTCAGGCATTCATACAGGCAATCATTTAGCTCCCCATTGCATCCCCCTGCAACCGGTGGAGCATCTCTCACATAAATTATGAATCGTTCAAAGTAATCAGGATCTGCATCATCCGGTAGTTGTGCTTCATCATAGTGGTCCAAGAGTGAGAAGAGGCTGGCTGGTTGGTTTCCTGATGTCCATCCACTGGGTTTCCAGTTTTCATAGGGAAGTAGGATCTGGAACTTTCTATCTGGAAATCACGCCTGGAGAGTCTGACCGAGTCTGGCGATAGCTCCTCTGGAAAAGCGGGCACTTGAATACTGAAGTTCCTTTATTTCAGGTCGTTTTGGTAAAGTGCGGGCGATTCTTGAGTATTGCATTTTTATGTATATGATTTGTCTTCAACTATAAATAATATCTTTCTATATATATACGAAAAAAAAAGAAATAATCTCAAATAGCGCTTACAATATGTCATTGATAGCGCCCTCAGTATCCTCTTCGTCCCAGTCATCGATGATTCCATTGGCGGCCTCCCATTCACGTTCCATATCAGTTTTTGGACGTTCCTCTGGGATTTCTCGTGCTTTACCTTTATTCATCTTCATAGTTTCATAACCAGAGGTAGTAGTGATAATCTTGGCATCACGATCCTCCTTGTATACTCTTATTAGATTTGTGAGTTCTTTACGGCTAGGTGTTTTAGGTGAGTTCCCATTATATTCGATCCAGTCCTTGAAGTGGTCTACTACCTCCCTAAAGTAGTACTGGTACTTGTCCTCAATACGCGTTGTGGGACATTCCTCTACTTCAAACGCAAGTATTTCCCAGTCATACTCGTCTGACGCGTTTTGGTACTTAGCCCATAAATCCTTACCTGTATTGTAGAGATCATTGAACACCTGGTCCTTTGAATTCTTGACCATGGCTTATGATCCCATCGGTGCCTTTCATGCCAAGCCCAGTGTGCTTGAGTACCTTCCTTTGGTTCAGGGTCCCAGTCAACTTCTAGTTCTGTGTCAGGTTCTAGGATAGGTTGCTTTTTGAGAGTCAGTTCTACTACAGGTTCTGTAGAAGATTTGGAATCTGCGAGAGATTCAGATTTTGCAGAAGATTCTGCAGGAGACTCGGGTTGTTGCTCAGGAACTTGGTCTGCAGTTGTAGTATCTGAGTCAGATAGTAAGTTATCTAAAACGTCGTAGTCATCATTAGCTTCAAATGCAGGTTCCTCAGCAGGCTGCTCATTTTCTTGATCAGGTTCCTCATCAGATAGATAACAGTCTGAGAAACTGTCTATAATTTCATTAGTATCTGACTCTATGGGAGCTGGAGATTCCTCAGGAATAGGATCCTCTTTGATGACAGGTGCAGGTTTTACCTTCAAGCAATCAGGTTTAGGTGGTACTGGTGGAGGAGCCTTTTTGGCAACTGGTTGCTTTTCAGTAGGTTTTTCTTCAATAGGAGCAGGTTTTTCCTCAGCAGGTTTCTCAACAACTAGCTCCACTTCCTCTTGATCTACTTGCGATTTACTAGCTGGATTATATATATTTGCCAAGAATTTCACCAAGGCATTTGGATCAGATGCGGGCTTCTCAGGAGTTTCTACATCTATTCCTTCTATATTGATTTCATCTGTTTCTTGGATCTATTTTTTGCTGAGTTATTTCTTGTAAAGATCCTCCCTGGATATGCTATATACTTGGGTTAACTTTTTATTTATATAAGTCCGATTACTATTTATACTCAACTCATTTGATAGAATTCTAGAAGCGTTTATATTTGATAATGGTGAGATGCAATGAGTTTCACAGTATGAAGTATATACCCTATAAAATTCTTGAACAGGTAGGTCGGTTATATGATTTTTTACTATGAGGTAAGTGTCCTTTATGAATTGAAATAGGGGTGGAAGAGTCGATATGATGTGATCCGGCTTAGATGTTGTCATAGGTGGTGGATTCCCATTGAAGTCTGGGTAAGCGTCTGCAATGGCTCTCAAGTAAGCATAGAATGCCTCACTGGCGCCTGGGTATTTCATAGCGTCACTGAGTTTCTTAAAGTAGTTGAGGTCTCCCTTGCGGGATGGTGACACATCCAAGAACACTGTGCGCCTATCGTCATTCTCCACTCTGAGAGCATTTTCATTAGTGAGTACAATGGTGGATATAAAGTTTTTGTAATGTGTTGGCGTCTTGTATTTTTCATGGATTTCCATTATATCGCCTGTTACCTTATCCTTCAACGATCGATACAGATTATTCCACTGGCTTTTTTCTGTAGGCATTTCCTCGAGGAGGAGAAGAACCTTACCCTGTAATTGCCCATTGAAACTTCCAAGAATCGTTTGAGGATCGCTGGTCTTATAAACAAGTTGAGTACCTAAGACACTACGTTGAATGAAATCTGTTATAATACTCTTACCCCAACCCTGTCCAGATTTCAGGTAGAGAATCGAATACATTTTCCTTCCAGCTGCCACACCGGCCAACCACTTTATGATATACTCAGTAAGATTCCAATCGCCTGAACACCAGATATCCTGAATGTGGGAGAAGATAAATTTAACCGCGAGGTGGGTTGTAGATTCAAAAGTGGATATCGGACGCAGGATATGGAGGAATCCTGGAAAGATATTGAGATAAAGTTGGCCACCTAGTTTAAAGATACGGGATTTTTGAGGGTCACAGGTAGCTACACATACAGTACTATATTCGATCATAAACCATTTGTTGATATTAAATTCAACCTTTTGTGAAGGACCCTGTTCAGATTGTGTGTAAAAGACTTTGGTAATTGGACGGATAAGTTTATTAATATTTTTATCAGGGATGTGCTCGAGGTTTTTGATTTCTGATCGCCACATGAAGACTCCATGTGGGTTGGAGCAGGGGATAAAGTAACTGCAAAGATAACCTTTAGCTTGATTGAGATCCCTCATATTCTTTGCAGCGTTAATGAGCCGTTTAAGCTCATCAATACTAAAAGCCTTCTTCTGTTCACCGAACTTGGGGATAACTTGAGCTTGAGTGCTAGTTTGGGCAGTCATTTTTTGTTCTATCAAATCGAGTACTAATTTATAGTTACCTAATCTTCAATTGCCGAATATTTTTTCCAAAGATCTGCACTCCTACCAGGTTACCCTCCTGTAGTCCTGTGGTCCTGCGATTCTGCGGTCCTCTGGTTATATCTGGTTATCTTCTAGGGGTAAAAAAAAAACTATAAACCACGAACCTTTACGACTGCTCTAAATCTTCCCTTCCCCTTTTTCAAACTACATATATCTGAAATCCAAACCGTTCAAGAGCTCCTTTTACTATAGTTAGCTCTTTTCTAGTGTCCGTTAACTCTTTACAAGCCTTTTGATACGCCTTCCATTCAAGTTCATGGAGGTCACGATTTCTATTATCCTCCTCCTCCGATCGACCAAGAGCATCATTTGCTTTTTCCTTCTTTTCTACTGCCCTGTCGTATGCCTCCTCTGCTTTTTTATGCCTCTTCCAGAGTACTTGTTCAGCTTCGGCTTTCCAGATTGGGCTGACTTCTAAAAGATGTGGCCCAAAATTGCTACTTGGAATGAGTTCCAGGATATGGCCTACAAGTTCGGGGATTACTGATACTGCGTGCGGGGTATACATGTTATCTGTCCTTCATCGGGAAATTTTTTAAGATGCAGAACTGCGGAGATCTGTTAAATTAGCAGATCTCCGCATTTTTTTTGTGAATTTATGCGGAAGTCTGCGATTTTGCAGATTTTCACTTTTTATTTTTTACAAAGTTATGTAATAATCTGCAATTTTGCATATTTCCAATTTTTTATGTATGCATTTCTGTACGCTAAACCCGGAAAGTTAAAATTAATTCGTTCTTCGATGTTTTCATAAATATTATTAACTCTAACACCATCTATATATATTATATCCTAGATTTGAGTTCTTGATTTTAGTTAATAATGGATCATAATAAATAATCCATAAAAGTGGCAAAAACTTGATCAATTTCGCATTGCATATCGAAAGCGTCTGTTAGCAAACCTTATTCTTCCGTCCAGTCGATAATCCTGTTAATAAGTTAATCAATTCTATTGGAAATTTAATTCTTTTCATCGCTTTTTCCAGCATAAAAATATTAATCCGATCATAAGCTTTTGACATGTCGAAGGCAAGAATTCATAATTCTTTATCACGTTCATTGCTATGTTGAATTATCTTATTAATTATTCGTAATGGCTCGAAAGTTGAGTTTAAAGGTAAACCCGCGTATTGATATCCTTGCAAAATTTGATGTTCTACTATTATCTTCGAGATACGTTTTGTAATTATTTTCATCATAACTTTTCTAACTGTTTCCAATAACATGATTGGCCTAGTATTATTTAATCTATACCCCTAAGGTTTCGGTTTTGGGATTAGATATATATTTGCTAATTTCCAATCTTTGGGCATTATTTGAGTTCGCAAAACTTCATCTATAATATTCCTTAATAATTGATTAAACTCTAACAGAGCTTTCTTAATCTCATCATATGCAATTCCTGTGGGTCCCACTGCTTTTTTAATTGGTAAATCCTTAATTACGATATTCCATTCGTCATCTGTAATTGGTTCAAGGCAATTATTATAAATTAATTCATTAATTGATCTTATCGGTTCATATTCATCAGACCACTCTTGTAAATCTTCTATTGTACGATTTTTCGAATCAGCTGCATTTTGAAAATAATCTTTAGTTATATCTTTGATTTTATTTTCATCAGTAACTAAAATACTATTTCCATATTCATTATCAATTAAAACTCTATCTATAAAAATTTTTTTCATCTCATTTTCAGTAATATTATCAATCATTCTTCGTTGATTATCTGCTAAATCTGCACAATGTTTATTCTATGGTTTCTTAAATTTTTTCATTTTTTAAATTAAACATTTCTAATGAAAATTTTGAGAATAAAACGTCATATATCTCATTTAATTCCTTAACATATTGACCTATCAAGAATCGACTTAATCTATGTTGTAATAAGAGATACGTTGAATTCACTTCATCTATTGAATGTCTTTTAACAAGATGTTTTAAATAATTATTGTAGTGTTTCCAATTTAGAGCGAGTCTTTCAAAACTCAATTTCTTTTTAAATTTTCTTCTTAAATATATAATGTATCGTAAATCTTTATATAGTTATGTATGTTGAAATGTTTTGTCATGATCGATATTAACGATAATTTCTTTAGATCGAATATGTTGTTGTTTAATTTTCAATAAATTATTTTTAAAAAATGACCACTTTTCTTCTATTGAGCCATTTAAATTAAAAGAAATAGCAACCTTTTTTAAGTCATCTTGAAAATTTAAAAGATCTTTTTCTTCAGTATTGTCAAAGTCAAAAATTTGTCTAATTAAATTCTTATTAGTCGTATTCATTTTTTTTGTCTATAAAATCGGATAAATCAAATCTTCATTAATAAAATCAAAAGTTAATAAAGCATGATCCGTTTTAATTATATCTCTTATATTAATAATTTTGCTTTCGATATTTTCGTGAAAAGATTTTCTGATATCCATATATAATCAATTCTTGAGTTGAAACGACCAAAATAAGTCATTATTTCTTTTGTATTATCCATATCATAAGTTTCTTTATGAACATCCCATAAATTAAGATCCTCTAATTTCTGAAAAATTTTCAACATTTTTGGCATAGATTGTTTATTATCTTGTCATTTTTTAAACCTTCGATATTGTAAATTAAAATCACCACAACAAATAATATCGAAAAAAAAATTTTCTAAGTTTTTCTTTGTAAAAAAAATGAAATGTAGGAACGGGAGAGAGTTTTCCTCATTCTGATCTGACATTGTCATTGTCATAAAGTTATATAAGATTCCCTATAAAAAATAAATGTCCGGAAAATGTCTAAGAAAATGTCCGGAAATTGTCCAGAATAAATCTGGCATGTTCAGAAATTGTTTGGAAAATGTCTATTTTTTGCTACAAATTTGATACCTAAAATTTTGACATATCCGGACTTTGTCCAGAATATATCCAGAATTTGTCCAGTATAAAATTTTGGACAAATTTCAGACAGATAAACCTGGACAAATTTCGGACATAGTAAAAATTCAGATAATTTGAGCTGGACAAATTCTGGACGCTACTTCCAAAAAAGGATAAATTAATTTTGTAAAAAAATGCAAAAAGCACAAGACTGACATTCATAACCTTCTTTGTCATACTAATTAAATTTGCTGAGCAGGCAAAAATACTATATATCTATGATATAAAACTTTAAGTTAAAAGTAATTATAATGATGGTCACCTGTTGATCATCTTTTTGTACCAAATTTTATGAAAAAATATTTCAGGTCAATTTCTGAACAAATTCTGGACAAAATGAGTGTTCGGAAATGAGTGTGTTTTCAGAACAATTTCCAGACACGGTACCTGGCATTTTCTGGATATTTTCCGGACAATTATTTAGACAAATTTTCTGGACAATTTCTGGACAATTTCCAGACACTTATTTTTTATAGGGATTAATTTGAGAGTTTTTTACCAAAAAGGAAATTTTTTTATAAAAAAAGAAATGATTTTCAATTTCGAGGTAATTCAGCAGGTGTTTTAATAACAAATTGAAAAATGATTTCCATAGAAAATCTCATGACAAAATTTATAATAAATTTAAAAATAAATGATCAACAAATGATCAACAAAATCGTTATTAGTTTTATAAAAAACGCCCAATAATATCTTTTTATTGTTTTAAAAAATAAAAAAAAAAACTTCTATATTACACTATATCATAAGCCATTGAAATTCCATGCATTTAAAGTGAACCAAAAGACTTCAAAAAAAAGAAAGGCCACATCATGCAACTATTCGTTGGTGTTTTCTCTACTAGGAGTAAGCTTTCATTGATAGTGAGATGAATAATCTCGTCTTGGCAAATGTTAAAAGGCTTTAAAGACGGTATGATCATTTTGGTTATTTTGCATTCTTGTAGATGGGCAGTCAAGAATATACAGTTTCATTAAACCACCATATGATTGCATTTTTAGAATACTAATAATTAGTCAATCCTATCATTCTGTTTGTTGAGACAAGTGAACAATGTCGAATTTAAGTTGAGAGGGATGTATCAAACCAAGAGATAAAGAGGTGGATGAGGATGAGCCTAAATTTTTTAGAGTTTTAATGATGTTATATCCTAGGATTGCATTTTTGAAAGTAATAAAAGTCTGGTCCTGGAAAATTCTGACTTATTATAAGTCACAAAAGGACCTGGAAGAAATACTGTCAAGGCAGCTGAAAAAGGAGATGGCATAAAATGGACTTTCCAGACTTTCAGGGAAGTAAGAGACCAAGTAGAACAAGAGCAGAAGGAAAGGAGAGGCAATCAACAATGTAAGAAACAAGCACTGTTCAAACTACAAGAAAGAAATCTTTCATATGGGTCAGTAAATTTAGATAAACTTCAAGGTCACCATTAGGGATGGCAACGGTCACGGTCATTAACCGGTTATGACCGTCGTCGTGCTGGGTGTGGGCACGGTGCAAGCACCACCCACCTCCGGGTCTAACGACCTGTCGCAGTACCTATCTGGTCCCTACGGAACTCAGGAATCCCCATAAATCCTCCACAATCCTACACATAGATCCTCCACAAAAATATATAACAAAAAAGGATAAAATAAAAGAAAAGAGAGGAAAATAAGAGGGAATCAGAAGAGTGTGGAGGATGTGGAGGATGTGGAGGATGTTTTAAAAAAATCAGGAGAGGGATTCCCCCAGAAAAAAGTTTTGATTTTACCCCCCCCAGATCCTCCACATCCAGAACATCTTCCACACGTACAGGATTCCGTCCGATCATCTGTATAAGCCGATGAGACAGCAAACCAGGTAGATTAACAGGTAAGCCCCTAGAAGGTCTATAGAGCTGGTAAGACCAACCCCATCCCGCCCCCGTCAGAAAAAATAAGTAATTGAACAATGGGTATACCAAGACGATTCAGAATACTTTTAAAAGGCAGTACTAATCCGTTTTCCTCTTTTTTGCCTCTTTAAGACATTTATCAATACACTGCTTGCAAGTGTCATCAGCATCTAAAATTTTCTGTCTGAGTTTTTTGCATTGCCGATTGTAAGCCGTCTGCTGTCTCTTAGCAGCGGTTTCTTTCTTTTTCTCCTTAGTCTTCTTCTTGATCACCCAGTCTACTCCAGTAAAAGTATTCTTATGCATACCACAAATTGTGCAATCACCATGCAGCCGGTAACGCCCATTTGTAGTCATATCTTGTATTTCACTAGCTGTCTCAGTTTCCTTCTTGCACTTTAGGCAGTAAAAACGTGTCATCTTAAGATTTGAAGTCTAAAACCATTCCTTTAATTTGTCGTAATAATTCACACTTAGAGAATTACTATAAGTACTACAATCTCTCTGGAGTATCAGCATGAATTCTAAAAGGTGAAGAGCACTACAACCTATACAAAAAGCCCCTAAAGGAAAAGTCAACAGAACGCCCAAAGGTAATTGTATGGAAACCAAATGCAACACACCAGGCAGATCTTGCAGAGATGCCAGTTGACCCCAAAGGATTCCACTATTTCTTCGTAGTGGTGGAAGTTGCAGGAAAGAGAGTCGATGCAGAGCCCTTGAAGGATAAAACTGCAAATAGGGTTCTCAATGGATTTGTCAAAATCTACAGAAGAAATCGTATCAAGCCTCCAACACACCGACTGGAAACCGACTCCGGATCAGAATTCACTAATGACCAGGTACGTGATTTTTTCCTGAACAGCCTAGGGGTGATGATTAGGTTTGGAGAGCCGGGAAGACATAAACAGCAATCATATGCTGAAAGAGCTATCCAAGCTATCCAAGAACCCCTTCTTAAACGAATGGTAGCACAGGAGTTGAAAACTGGGGTGACATCCGTGGAATGGTCAGAAGATTTCCATAATATAGTGAGTAAAGTAAATGAACTCTGGCAGAGAAATCCCCCAGACATTCCGACAGGGTCACCCAAAGTGTCAAAAAAGACAGACCTCCTCTCTGAAGGAACACGTGTCAGAGTCAAGTTAGATGAACCTATTTCTGTACTTGGTAACAAACTTCATGGAAAATTCCGTACAGGAGACATAAGATGGAACCCAAACATTCGTGTAATCAAAAAAATGATACTCTCACCTGAACAGCCTCCTACATATCTCCTTAATGGACCACATGGTCGATTAGGTGTATCCAGATGTGCATATACCCGAAAGGAATTGCAAGTAGTTTCTATTAATGAAAAGCCTCCACCTGACTCTGTGATAAGAGGACAACCCAAAAGATTCATACCTGAGCAGATACTTCGGCATCGCATTAGAAAAGGTCAAGACCAGTATTTGGTTAAGTGGGAGAGATACCCAGATACAGAAGCCACTTGGGAACCTGCTGACCAGTTGAAGGAAGATGTCCCTGACTTAATTCGCAAATTTTGGGAATAAAAAAAAATAGAAGAATTAAAGGGTCTTATTTTTTATCCCCTCGATTAGCATCAGGAACTATTGGGATAAAAACATTCTTCCCATTACAGGTAAAGGCTATATGTTCACGTGATTCATGGATATCATAATTGTAACGTTTCAGACACGTTCGGCTTAACCCAATTTCCCTATGCTTGTAACCACTTAAGACTGCAAGGTCCTCAGTGATAGCATAATCAGGGGTAAGTTTGATTGTCACTCCCTTTACCATACCGAATGTCCTACCTGTTCCTGGAGCACCAGATATGTTGTATGTAATACTCTTGTCGATATCCAACCCTAATTCCTCAGCAGCTTCTCTCTGAATAAAAGACGCATTAGCACAAGTGTCTGCTAAACACTGAATTGCTATCCCATTAACCTCCCCATCCAGTGCTAAAAGATCTTTAGTATTCTCTAAACGAGCTATGTCAATATCCATAGGATCTTCTACCCTGATATCTTCTTCTTGTTCCTCCTCAACTAGGTCCTCCGGAATCTCTGTGACTTTTCTAGCAGACAATAACTCCTCCTGAAGAATCTCACGGAGTAATTTCCTAAAGTCTGCAGACCTTAACAGGCTTAATAAGTCATTCTTAGTAACAGCTTTTGCAGGTGTAGACTTACTACCAGTAACTTTCACAGGAATCTTAACAGGGGTTGCTTTGCCTTTCAATGGCACACTAGAAGAGCTAACTGCTGTCTTATTTGGGGACGACTTAAGAAGTTTTGAGATACTCGAACCTACTTTTTTTTTGACCCAACACGAACCATATAGACATCACCATCTTTTTCTCTCAATTCTACCTTTTCACCAAAACTCGCAGTATCAATGTCCATAGCATCATCATTAAGATCGAGGTTTCTCATTGCTCGGGCCAAATCCAGATCATCACGTCTATCTTTAGCCTTCTGAA